AAGCAATGAAAAGGGATAGAATGAAAAAAAAAGTAGAAATACAGAGATTTCAGATGGAAGCTACCCAGGATGTATGTCCTGTTTTCAATTGCCAAATTCCCCATCTTAAGAGAAAAGACTTTTAAGACTTCTTCCAAAACCTGATGTTGGACACATAACATACACATGAATATCTGGAGTTGCAATTAAATCTTGCTTATTTTGGCTATCATTAATTTTCTTATACTTTACTGATAGATGAAGAAAGGACATTATTTAAACGTCTTTGGAATCATACATTTATTTTTAATTCTATACAGATTCAGTTGTTGTTCTTTGTGATGATGTTTCCTTCCAAAGACATAACCTTTTACTCCAGCAATTACCACCAGGAAAAATGCACTGCAGACTGCACCACAGTACCATATTGTATCTGCCTGCCACTGAGAAACCAGCAACTTCCCTGCCACAGGGCCCCTCTGATTCTGACTTTCTTCTCCTCTTGTTAAGAAACACCTCTCAGAAAAGAATCTCCTGAACTCACACATTAAGCTCTGGAAACATAATAACTTTTGTTGTGTGGCAATTCTTTATATAGTATATGACACGGCTTCAAACGGAACTGTCTTTTATATTCTGGTTTGCATAGGTGTTATACAGCCATTAAAAAGAAAATCGTATTAGCTGGCTCTTGGGTATTGATAAAAATAAAAAAAAAATCACAACAACTATTTATTAGACAAACTATATTATACAACTTGTAGGAAAAAGCTTATTCTCTCTACTACTAACAATTGACTGCTACCTGAAGACTTAAGAAATCAGCAGTCAAGCGAAACTAGGGAATTAAAAAAAACCCAACCCACAAACTTTCCTATTTGCAAACATTTATCAAAAGTTTTAACCTTAAATACTTAATTTCAGAGGTTTATGTTGACCAGACAGTAACAAAGGGAGTTAATCAAATATGAATCTTCTCCAACTGTCTTGTCAAACCAGGTAATGATGTCCTGCCAGCCAAACTCAGAGGGAACATGTGAAACAAATACAAAAGTAAACAGGCCTTAAGCTGCCCAAGGGAAAGTCAGCAAGATGGCAATTTCAATCATTTGGAATAATACTAAAGCAGCCTTAGGCTTTTCTCAGAATGGAAACATGTCACCGTTACTGCAATATTTCAACAAATCAGACTGCAAAAGAAAGGAACACTTATGTAATCGCAGCTGTGGAACAGCGCTTTACTCAACGGTGAGGTGGAAAATAATTAAGAGGAAATTCCCTTTTTGCGAGTAATTGTAAATGTACCTAAATAACAAAGACAAATAATGTTTCCTTAGAAATTTTGTGAAATCAAATTTAGACACAGATTCCTTTAGTTTTGATACAGGAGGCTTTGGAACAACAAAGATAAAGTTCTATCAAATAAATGTATGAACATAATGTTACTACAAAATTTATCAAATGTTGATAAAAGTTACATTCAGAGCTCCAAACAAATCAAAAAGTATTTCAAGAACAATTCTGCTGAAAAGTTTCATTAATATGAAGGTGTTGTCATATCATTTAACTGAGAAATCAAAAAATATTTCAAATATTTGGGGAACTTACCTAATCAGTAAACTTTCAGTATGTGTCTAGTCATGTAGCCATCTTTTAGTCAATCATCAGAAAATCAAAGGCAAATTGGCATGACTCAACCCAAACTTTAATACCGCATGATTGTGTCGTGTAAGCTTGTTTTGTGCGAGGGCTGCTGTGGTTTTAGCAGAGAGATTAACGACCGGACCTAAGCTGGCCTCCAAACCTTGCCCTGCTGATGCCTCAAGCCCTTTGAAGTCTGACCATCATACCTGGCAAAACAACAGTGGGAACTAGGCTGGTGTCAGATCTAATCAAGCTTCCTGCCTCAGCATAGCTAACTATGGGGTACACTAATTGGCCCAATTGCGGATTATACCTTTTGCTACAGATTCAAGACAATAATTTAGTCAAATGATGGTTTTTATCTCCTTCTAATTAAGATTCCAAAGTGGGAAGAAATAGGATTAGACAAGCTAACTTCAAAATTGTGTCCTTTAAAGTGGTATGCACATAAGATAGATCTCTGATAATATTGCATATAATAATATATTGCTAGTAACTAACGTGTGAAGATTTGGGAAAGCAAGCTTTCCCAAAAATATAACTACTGCAGCTTTTACCATAAACATGTAAAGTTTTCCTGGAAAGGGTCTACCTCATAATTTACAAATGGAAAATGAACACTTATAAATATGAATTAAAAAACATTTTCATGCTGAATTAAAAAAAAAAACCCAAAACAACCTTTAGAATACATTTCAGTCAATCTTACTTTGAGTAAGAAGAGACAAGAAAAACTGAAACAGTTAAATGATTCTGCAGACCATAAAGAGGCGGAGTCCCTCCCACAAAACTGCAATCTAATAAAATGGGTTTGACATTTAAATTTTTTTACTGAGGAGGGCCAAACCATAAAGCGCTTTTTCACTTGCGAGCAATCCAGAGATGAGAAAATCAGGGTCCCATGCCCTTATTTTAAACTGTAAAAAAAGAATGGTCTAGTCATGAAAACCCTTTTTGGAGAAATTTTGCCATAAATGATAGGTCGTGTATTTCTAACTTTTCTTACGTAACTTGATTTTAAAGTGGCATTTCAAGTAGAAGTCACTATTTTTACCCTAAATTCTGTATAAAACTAACCAGGAGCTTTCCAAAAACTGTAACATACTCAAAATATATTTTCATTTCACATTTAAGCTACATACTAAAGAAGTTATAGACTTAGTAGCACTTTGTATAAAGCACACTGTTGCTTGTAACGCACAGTGTGCTGCTTTATGTTTTTACCACCAGAACCAAACCTGACTGCTGACTCATCGCATTCTAACTGCAGAAACCCATTTTAGAAGACTGTATTCACATCCCTTCTTAATTCAATTTTCCCTTGCTCCCATTTTCTTATTGACCTCATTGCTCTAGTGAGCCTAGCTGTAGTCTGCCTCCCCTAATAGTATGAGGAAGAAAAACATATGTATTATAGATTAGTGAAATGGGTACAGGAAGATCACAGTAGGACAGTGATCTAACATGTTCAAAACGGGCTAGTTTGTGTCAGTTCAGCTTATAGAAAGCACATGTCTAACAAAACCTGAAGTTATTCAAAGGGGCTGCAGCTGAGCAATGAAGGGAGAAATTATACACGTGGGTCATCTACGCATGTCTAGGGCAACAGGTTGTTTCAAGAGTACCACTACACCCATTTCCAACGCTTCTGCCCCATGGCTAATTCAATTCTTTTTACAGAGCTTCCCACTAAGGTTTTTTTTTTCCTTCCAAATGACATTACAAATTAGAATCCCAAATACGGCTGACAGAAAAAATTATATTCTGAGTCAGGATTCATAGTGAGGAAAAACCCCCAAATATTTTAATTCATAGCTATAATAAATGAGAATTTACTATGCTGTGAAATAAGGGTGCACGCTTCTCTGCACTTCTGAAAACAGTAGGAACATTTGTATTTTAAAACCAAACACAGACTATTAAGCTTTTTGTTTCTAATCTACTGCTCAAAAGCAGTTGTTAAAATGGTTTAATACCTCACAATGCCTGGTTTCACTAACCGCATTCTCTGGAAAGTGAGAAACATTATAAAGGAATGTCTTTGGGAAAAAAGCCCTCCTCCACTTATTTGCCTTTAAGTGGCTTCTGAAGAGGATACCTCTAGTTGAGAAACTTCTAGCACTCATGCAGAGATGACCTGCATGAAGAACTGGCTGCCTGATTAACTATTAACTACTCTCAATAGGATTAGATAATTAAAGACATTGATGACCATTAATTAGGAGGAGGGCACCTTAATTTGTCACTTGATAGGGCCCTTTCAATGATTTATAGGTTAGGGCTACTTGCAATTGTGAAGGGGAGGGGGCAGTGAAGAGAGAGAACCCTTAAGTTACCTTATCAAGTGGCCAGCTAAAAAGGGCAGAGGGTCAAATAAGGGCCAAAGTGGTCACTTAAGGGTGAAGTCCCAAATACCAAAGCAGTGCCAAGCCACATTGACCATCATTTGGTGATGGAGTAAAAAATATGCTAATTTATTGGTGGCAATTCTCTCTTTTTATGGTTTCAAGCAGTTAAGACAAGTGGCCTGCTTAAGAGCTTTTCATTTGAAAAGAGATTAAACAAAATGGTTTGTCAGGGATGCTCGGCTGTTTTATGTCTTTGTTAAAAAAAATTTGTGCAGACTGTACCGATGACTATCACATCACCCCGAAAGCCACCTTCCATCTCTAAGCATTACTTGGTTAATAAATACATCAGCTCTAATTGCTTAATAGTGCTATGTTCATTTGCTCTTTAGCAAGATTAAAATGAAATACATCTTTTGTATTACTGCCTTCTATCAGGACTGTCTGCATAAAGGTCACAGAAAAAAGTTTAAATTTAGTAGGAAATTTACTTAAGGACATTAGTGTAAATGATACTGTGTTTAAAATGACATAAAAGAGCGAAAGGTGATTTCAGTAATGCAAAGAAAATGGTTTCTGAATACTGATAAGGACACTTATCCCTCATACCACACACAATTTTAGGCAGCATTATACATTAAAATCCCTCTACTGGGGTAATAACATGTAGCTACTTTCCCACCCACTAACACAAGTAAGAGCAAGTCATTAACATTTAATTAAATATGCTCCTGACATCCTTAGAAACATGTCACGCTTTGTTATTGAAGGTTGTGGCCTACTTTCTATGTACATTTTAAACCAAAATAAACTATTTATAACGGACCGATTTAGTGCAGCAAATGAGACATTTTTAATTAGAAGGCATATTACAGTATTTTATAAAACCGTTCTGAACAGCAAACCCAGAATGAAATGAATTTACATCATCTGATGCATATTTTATGTATTTCACAAAATGAAACATAAGAGATGGGATTAGCTCCACCTTTTGGGTTCTAAATAGTGAAACAAAACTGTTTCTCTTACCTCAATGGTGAACAGCTTCCTTTTTAATCTAAAAGCAAGGTCCTTCGTGTCTGACACATCACAGATCAAGCTATTAAGCCGAGGAATCTGATGTACGTGAACCAAACCTTGTGGAAAGAAAGAGTAAAGGAGGGAAAAAAATTAAGAAAATGCTGTCATCCAGATGCATAAATTAGAGTCTTACAGCAGAATTCTGTATATTTACACACACTCATCCTCCCCTTTTTAAACTGGAGCTTACTACCAGGAGCAATGAAGCAAACGGTGCGATTATACTCAAGTAATCAAGCAGAATAAGATAAACAGAAATCCTTGTGCGAGGAAAACTAATTGCACTTTGGTACAGAAGTACAGATGTAAAGAGGGATCTTAATACTTGTCAAAACTACAGCCGGTTTGTGTGTGATTTTCTCTCGTATTTACAGTAAGCAAATATGGCTATCACCTTGCATGCTGCCCACGGCACCACTGAGTGATCTTTATTTTATTAAATGCACCAGTAAGCAGCCAGCAAAACAAGGCTTATGGGTTACTGATAACCACTGACGCTCTAATGAGAAGTACTTCGTTTTGTGCCCTGAAAATGACTTTAAAAAGTTTCTGGAAAATATCGATTTAGATGATGCTTTTTGATAAATTTTAACCCCTATGCCATGCCAGGAGGAACACGTTTTCTTCACACAGGAGGCTTCTATAGCTGTTCAGATGTTTTTAACAGTACTAGGTGCACTGCAAGCTCTGCATTCTGTCAGCTGCAAGTCAAGCTGATTTTTTCTGACAAGGACGCTGGATGGTTTTTTGTGCAGCCTAATATAGTTTCTGAACAACCTAAGGGTGATTTTCTACATCTGAAAACAAGGAAAATTCTACAGGGCTTCTCAATTACTGGCCTATATATGCTACTCATAAAGGCAGCGTCTAAATGGAAACACTGAACATTTAGAAAAGACATCTTACTTGAAAACGGCAGCTGTGAAAAATCCAAAACACTAAAACCCTAATTTAAAATAGGCAAGTATTTTTTCAGGGTTTTATTTATTTTTTTAAAAGGAAGAATATGGGAAGAAAGTTTCCTAAAATTGAAATACTTTAAAAAGCGTCATTTTTATGGGTACTAATTACAAAAATACTCAATAACATTAGAAGAATATTTCTACACTTTGAAACCTTCTATCCCTGCCTCCGGTCTGGTGACATATAAGAAGCATTCTTTTGGATTTTGAGTTCAAAATATAATTATTATATATAGGAACAGCAGATATAACACAGGGTTGTTTATATACAGTATTCTAAAAATTTTATTGCAGGACCATCTATATAATTCTTTTGTTACTTTATTGACTTTTCAACAATTTAAATTCACAGGCAGCTTAATAAAATTATTCATGCAGGATTCATTAAATAATGCAATATTTTAATCAAACTTCTCCTGAGTAATGTCAAAATCTTCCATCATCTGCAGTAAATAAATCATCTTAAAATACATTCTTAAGCAAAAAGAATCCACAAAGCTAAAATCATTAAAAATACCTATTTTTAGAATGTTAAATTAAGGTTGCTTAAACCTCAAAAGCTATGGATATTGGCATATAATTTTTATTACATAGTACCAGAAATGATTTAGCACACATTTGTACAGGAAACCAGGAAATAACTGTTAAAACACACGTTGTCTTAAAGGATCTCTTCAGTAATGAGAAAAGGACTATCAAATTGACAGAATTATGTTAGCATAAACAAATGCCACATCACAATTATACAGTTGGAAAAAATAATTAGGCAAATTATTCTAGCTTTTGTTCACAGTTTCTTTTTCATTCACCTTTTTTTCAGATAATGAAATATGCACTATTTTCATAGTCAAAAAGATTTTTCTCTGATTTATTAATTACAGCCTGCATACACACAGTGGTGTCTCAACACCATCTTTGCTTCTTTTTCTATATATTCTGCTGTGGAAAACACTGCCACATTCTCACATGTTTACAGCAGGTTTTGGATAAGCAGGTTACTTTCAACCAAAGGTTTCCATGGAACTGGAACTGGATACAGTAGTATCACAATAATAATAGCTGTAATTTATGCACACTCAGAGCACCGCTCCGGATTAGCTAAAACTGTTATTCACTGCTTTGGCTATGCATAACTCCTAATCTAATCTTTTAAAATTTAAATAGTTCTGCTGCAACAGCTAACAGAATCTTTGGGAAATGAAATGCAAGATTAAACAAGACTACACATTTTGAAGATAAATAACTACACGACTTCTTACCAAAATTAGTTTCATATTTTACATGGCATGCATATCCACATTCATTTCTTTAAATGCAAAAATGCCATAACTTAAAGCTGAAAAATAGAACATTATTCTTAGATAAAGTTTATATAGCACATCATTTAGCAGTTTATTCATCTTAATATAATATATGTTTTTCCATGTTCTCTATTTAAAACTTGGCAGATCAAAAGTATTGATTTCATGACAAGTTCAGCTCGCTGGTCAGATGATTGCCAAGCCTCCTCTGCATGTGAATTCCCCAAAGCCTGCCTGTTGAGATGTACATCTGATTGAGCCATGCCTCAGTAATACAGCTTGACAACATGCAAGGAGTTGCCATGTTTCCTTTGCAGCCTTAATGCACTTTACTGAAAATTTTCCTAACTCAGGACTAGTTAGCAAGGAGAAACATTTAAGAGAGATATTCTAAAATGAAATCAAACGCTACTTTATAGCAGATACCCAACTGGAGGGTAAACCGCTAAGTGCCCTAGAAACACTCAGGGCAGACTTTCTGCATTGCTAAAGATGGAACTTACCATGGTAATCCTTGTATAATGGATTGGTTTCTCTCTCAGAGCCAATAAATGATTCAAGACCAACTACCATATCTGACAAGTTTGTTACACGTTCCATAATTGCTTTATTCTGTAAGACATGGAAACAAAATACACATCCTACGTGATGAAAAAGGTAATTAACGTTCATAGAGTAAGCCTTGGTCTTCTCAATGACAAACTGTGGGGAAAAAATAGGTCATCAATACTTAGAAATTACATTAGAGAGCTTTTTTCTTTAAAAAAAAAAGACTTGAAATTTCTGTCTAAAGAAAACAGGCATTTGTCAAGCAGAAACTGTAAAAGGGCTAACTCAGCACTAAATTTGTATTTTCCTAAATCTTCATAACATAAGCATTTGCTCACATCAGAGATATTTACAAGCTATGTGGCAGTTAAGCACCTCTCATTGACTTCTACTATGAGTCAGATGCCCAGTTTTTTGTGTCCTGAAAACTTTGGGTTTTAATACACTTAGGCATATCACCTCTAATATTTTGAGCAAGCACAACCCATGCAATTATTCATTTTGGTCATCAGTCAAACAAGATGGAAAACCAAAGCATTTTCTCCAGTATTTTTCTTTCTAAAAGTTCTTCTTTACACAACATAGGAATCTAAAGCTTCAAGTTGCGTTATCATTTATGATTTATAAGTGATGCCTTATGTCTTGTGCAACAATGTATTGTCATGTGCCTTAAATAAGCTTTTTTTCTGCATGGTTTTCCTTACTTAGTTTTATATAGCAGAAAGCAACATTCAAAGGTCACAATAGATATCTTCAGAGGTAACTCAGGATAAAATGTTCTTAAATGCTTTATGTCAGAATTTAATCAGGAAAAAAAAAAAAAAAGACAGAAATCTGTGCTAAAAAGCAAAATATTTCTTTAAGGTAAGAAGAAGTAGCTGTCTTAAAGCTGCCTGGGCAGCTGGTGTACAGTTGTTCTTGATGGTTGTAGGTACTATACCCATTATACCTTCAGGGGTATCGACACCAATTACCTCAAAATACCCATTCCAAGAATAAAGAATTAGCTCTGTAGCTCCAAGTTATAGTTTTGCATTTTTTATTGATTTTAAAGCACTCTGTACATTCTGCACTTCTTACACAAACTATGTGACCGACACTTATGAAAAGTCAATTTAAATACTGGTAAACTATTCGATAATAAGAATTTATAAAGTAATTAGGAGCAGAGAGAAGGGAAACATCCCCAGATGTTAGAAAAGTCTATGCACTCTACTGACATACAGGTTTATTAAAATGGTTATCAATAAAAAATTGCTTTCATGAACCCACATTTCAATAACAGAGCATTTCCTAGCCACAGAGAAGCCTACGAAGCAGATGTGAAAGGTGAAAATTTCCATCTCCCATCAAAAAATAATCTAAATTCTGGTTTTTGATCACTACATAAAGTAACTTGTGACCTGTCCTGCACAGCCCAATCTGCTCAGGTTACAAGGCCTAAATCCACTGATCCCATGATACGTTTACACCCCCTCCCTTCCCCACCTTATGGGCCAGATGGCATTAAATCCTGGGGACTGGTCTCTTTTCAAAGCCGCTACTTGTGCACAGACCAAAATGATCTGTCCCCATGGATTCAGGGAACTTCAATTTTACCTACAAAGTCTAATGATGGATAATGATAAAATAGTGTTATACTAGGAATTTCCTTTCTGAGGAGTAACATAAGTGATCTGAGGTAAGAGAACACATCAATCCCTAAACTTCATTATTGTATCCACATCTTAAATATTAAAGTTGACTTGCAAATTATTTCCTATTCTAGGAAGAGAGAGACAGTATACTACATTTTAATGGAAACTTTTGGTCATGTTATTCTACAGAGGCAATCACTTAAAGATGGTATAAATATAAATCTGAGGTAGCCAGTGACCTCTATAAATCCACAGACCATAAGTTACCATATTTTGCAAGTTCTTCAGCAGTCTGCTGGATGTTATTTGTATAAGGAAGAAATACAAAATTGTTACATAAATAAATAAACACTGATGATTTCTGGAAGCTAACCCAAACTCTTGCTATAGAAAAAATACTCTATAATTTGACAAAATGTTTGCTGTCCATTAGTGTTTTTTCTTCCTTGTTTTGATAACAATGGGTTACAAAAACTATGGATAGAAAAATGCTCAACCATGAGCAAGGTATCCTCGTCATTAACAGTCCTACAAATCATAACAATAGCATCTTTCCTATTTGGTCCTAATTCTGGAAAGATTAAAGTGAGGGATAGCAATTTGGTACTTGCCTAATGATACATACTTCAGTATGTTGTTTCAGCTCTTCTGAACAGGTTTGCTTTCTTAAATTGTAGTCTGCTTGCCCATGTTGATTTTGTTTTTGTTTTTAAAGTGTGTCAAAATATTCTCCTGGCTTAATGCAGTGTATCTTGGGAAATATTTTGCACAGTGAATCGCCACACCAAACAGGCATTCGCTTATGCGGCATTGTTGCCATAGATCTGTATCTATCATGTATTTTCTAGTTTGCAGTGTTCAGCACATTAATGTCGAATCAAAGCTGACGTCAGCACACAGATAGTTGTGATGTATGGCATACTGACATAAACACACAAATCATGTTGCCCCATCTGGGCTTGAAAATTTAACAGAGCTCCAGATCTTCCTCCAGCCCCATACAAATCTACCTCCTGCTTCTGGCATAAACTTGGCAGCTCTGGAGGTGAGCTAGATATATTGTTTTAAATTACACTCAAAAATAAAATAAAATAAAAACCAAACCCAGTCTTGGAAAGTTTTCAGTCTTGCTAGATGTGCTGCAGTTTTTCTAAATTAGTTAGTTCAGCCAAAATGTAATTATTCTAACAATACGGTAGCAACCCTGTTGTGCAGGCTGGGATGGGCATCCATTCTATATCTTACTTTGTACTTGCTGTTTTAGACAGACATTTTCTTTTAAGCACAAACTTGTAGTATTTGGACTCAACCGAAGTGTACTTTCAAATCAATGTCTCAAGAAAATCCATGTAGATAGTTGGATACGTAAATGGGAACCATACATATGTGTTTAACCAGCTTTTGGGAAGGGCAATTATGGAAAAAGATTGCTTTGTCCTACTAATTTATTTGCAGAATCTACATAGCTTTGAGCAATTATTTGTGTGTGTTTAAAAATACTTATTTACAAATAAAGCAGTTCAAAATGTATCATCTTCTGTGTCTGAGTATAAAGCATGGTATTCTACCAACACAAATATATGTATAGTCTGTACGCTCAAACTCACATACTGAAATTAATACAGGGTGTTTCTACTGGATTGAGTTCTTAATGTACCACAATTTTATCATTACTACTATTAATCATATCAATCTTGGTTCATCTGGATTCTGTATTAGGGAAAAAAATCTATCTTCTCTACTCTGCTCTAATTTCTAGTTCTCCTCTGATTTCCTGTCAAATTTTTTCTAATGCCCAGAGATAGGTCCTCCCATTTTTATTTTGTCAGTTTCTAAAGAAATTAAAAACCTCACAAAATTTACATAATAAAAACTTTAAATTCTCAGTCCTTGCACTACATTAAGTAAAGAAAAGTCAAAGAATGGAACATTTTCTTAGAATAACTTCAATTTTTCTACATAGTACATATAAACAATCTCAACAATTAAAAGGAAAGTAAGAGACTTATGTTAAAGATCTACAATGAGACCCAACTGGCCCCTGTATAAATACATTCAGCTCCTGAATCATGTGGTCTTTGTATGTTTGCATTTTTATTCTGATCAATACATTAACATAATTTTAATATTGATTTATATATTGCATTGAAAATAAGGTATTTTAAGACTATGTCTCTTCTCAAAGAGACATTAGGCCTATATTTTGGTAGAGGGCTACATTTAACTTCTGTACCTTTACAATCTGGTAATCTAATCCTATCACTGATTTCAAAACATTTAATTAAGAGTTAATAAATTGAATCCTAAAAGTGGGTTCATTACCTAAAAAACTACTTATAAACAACTGCTAGCAGTGGGACAAACCCCAGTTTAAACAGTGAGTTGCATACATTCCATATGACAGCACAGAATTTAAAGATGAATTCAGATACTCCCCCCAAGTCTAGGTAAAGCTGTAATTGTAGGCAACAATTTCTATTATTACCAACCAGTGAGTCCAGTAACCCTGACACTTCATTTGAAAGAAGGTCTCAATAATAAGCAGCAAGCAAGTTCATGCAAAGTAATATGAACCTTATGAACTTAAAGCAAATTCTGGTGCGTGAGTTTTCAAAAAAAGCTCATAAAGTGGTTTTGCCTTTTTTGTTTTTGTTACATTCAGTCATAAAGCTGAAGTAAGCTTAGCACTGTAACATATGCAGCCACGTTGAACTATAACAAAACAGTGGCTGGATATTCAATAGATGAAATAATTCTTGATGTTTTCTGAGACATTATCACACAATGATGTGGTAATGACTTTACAATATACCTATATTTACCATTTGTCATTACTACTTAATCTCCAAAGGATTTTAAATTGAAAAGATAAATTATTAAGAAACATGGCTTAAATATTTATCACCATTTGTTAATAATTACTGCTCAGAAAATCACAGAATTACCCATACATTTTATTTTGGTAAAAGAAGTAAGGTATTAGGCCCTTGTACTGGTTTTATAGAGAGATGCAGTTTGTGCATTTTTTCATTATTCACAAATCCCCAAAACAAAAGATTAATAACCACTCTGCCAGAGAGTGTTGTATCAGTAATAAACAAAGACTGTAAAGTATAAAATTCTACACTTAGTCTGACTCCAAGTTGATTAGCACTGTTCTCAGTGCTTGCACACACCAAATCTACTAACTGAGCTTTGAATTTTGGCTCTAAAATGAATGTGCACTCAGACAACTGGAATGTAAGATGAGCAACAGTACATTAACCAATTTTGGTATGTAGAAATCTGTATCAATATCACAAGAAAACTGAATACAAGTGCGATGTCTTTGCTGGAAGACAGATATCCTAGAAATATACTTCAAGGATTTTCTACAAACTGCAATCCCTTGGGTGATGAGAAATCCACATATAGGGATTCTGGCTG